CCTCCTCCTCCTTCCTCCTCCTCCTCTTCCTCCTCGTCCGCCCTCCTCGCCCGCCTTTTGGAGGCGCCCATCTGCGCCGCATCCGAGAAGACGCCAGCCGAGGCCCTGAAGCACGGGCCAGAGGCGAAGGAGGCCTTTGACGAGGTGTCGGTGGTGGTGGTCGTTGTTGTGGTCCGCACACGGCATCTGGTTGCGCACACACCGCCCCCCCCCCCCTGGCAGTCCCAGCTGGCCTTAACAAGCCTCCCGAGTAGTCTGGGGCGGTCGCAACACCTTGGCGCCGCCTCCATGATAGTTTTTTTTATGGTGATGATGGCGATGATGTTGATGATGATGCTGACGGTGGTGAGGATGCTGCTTATGGTGATGATGATGATGATGATGTTGATGATGATGGTGATGATGATGGTGATGATAATGAAATGATGAAATGATGAAATGATGAACTGATGGCGCTGCTGATGATGATGGTGATGCTGATGATGCCGATGATGGTGATGACGATGATGATGCTGGTGGTGATGTGACGCTGGAAATATTGATGATGGTGATGGTGTTGATGATGTTGGTGGTGGTTGTGGTGATGGTGTTGATTATGATGTTGATGGTGACGATGCTTACGATTCTGCTGATGATGGTGATGGTGGTGATGCTGGTGCTGGTGATGATGGTGGTGGTGGTGTTGGTGATGATGATGATGATTATGATAATGATGGTGCACGTGGTGGTGATGATGCGGCTGATGATGCTGGTGGTGATGTTAATGATGGTGTTCACGATGATGGTGTTGGTGGTGATGCTTGTGACGATGCTCGTGATGATAATGGGGTTGATGATGGTGATGGTGTTGATGGTGATTATGGTGGTGAGAATTATGATGATGGTTGTGATGGTGATGCTGCTGGTTATGATGATGATGCTACTGCTGATGATGGTGATGGTTCCGATGGTGATGACGATGATGGCGATGGTTTCGATGGTGGCGGTGATGATGCTGACTGTGATGGTGATGCTGACGACGGGTATAATGATGCTGATGGTTGGGATGGTGAGGATGATGGTGGTGGTGATGCTAATGATGATTATGATGATGTTGATGGTGCTGGTGATGATGTTGATGGTTGTGATGGTGACGTTGATGCTGATGATGATGGTGCTGCTGGTGTTGATGCTGACGGTGTTGATGGTGATGCTGATGGTGGTGTTGGCGATGGTGCGGATGATGCGGAACATGATGATAATGATGCTGATGACGATGATGGTGATGATGATGATGATGATGGTGACGGTGTTGGTGGTGATGGTGGTGATGGTGATGGTGGGGGTGATGCTGCGTATTATGATGGTGATGCTGATGGTGACGACGATGATGGTTTTGGTGGTGATGATGGTGACGCTGACGATGATGATGCTGTTGATGGTGATGATGATTATGATAGTGGCGATGATGGTGATGCTGTTGATAGTGATTATGGCGATGATGGTGATGCTGGTGGTGAAGTGATGATGATTCTGATTATGATGCTGATGATGGGGATGATGATGCTGATGGTGGTGACGATGCTGATGCTGATCCTGCTGATGATGATGATAACGATAGAGATGGTGCTTACGGTGGTGGGGGGGGTGATCGTGGTGGTGGTGATGATGCCGATTATGGTGATGCTGATGGTGATGATGGTGATGATGACGCTGCTGATGATGATGCTGATGATGATGATGATGATGAGGATGAGGATGAGGATGAGGATGAGGATGAGGATGAGGATGAGGATGATGATGATGATGATGATGATGATGTTGATGGTGGTGATGTTGAAGATGGTGACGATGCAGACGATGACGGTGATGCTGCAGATGGTGACGATGGTGATGTTGATGGTGATGGTAAGCCCGTCTCTCGTATCTGCCGAGGCGCGCACGGCCCCCAGCTGTGGGGTGAGCTCTTCGCTGCGGCGAGGTTGCGCCCGAATCTGCAGCCGTGGAGGGCGCCGCCCCGACGCCTCGTTCCAGGGAGAGCCGCCGCCGCCGCCCGGGCGAAGCGCGGAGCACGCAAGAGAAAAAACACATGGTGGCGAGGAGGAGGAGGAGGAAGCAGGAGAGGCAGGGGGAAGAGGGCGAGGGGGGAGGACTAGCAGGATCAGATGAGGAGGAGGGAGGGGGGGGGGCAGACGGAGAGGGAGAGGCGAAGGAGGAGGAGGAGGTGAGGATGGAGGAGGAGGGGGGGAGGGGGGGGGGTCAGAATGAGGGCGAGCGGAACGAGGAAGCGGGGGGGAGGGAGGGGAGGGGCGGCGAGCGTGCGGGAGCGCACGGGGGGGAGGTGAAGGAGGCCATCGGGCGGGGCATCGCGGAGTTCTCCGTGCAGCGCAAACCTCTGGTCATCATGTCTAAAGACTGGTACCACCAGGAGCTGAAAGGGCCCATGGGCAAGTGGGCCCTGGTGTTCTTGCAGCAGTGCCTACGGAGCGAGTGGCAGACCCTGGTGGGGAACTCAGAGAAGGCGGGCGATGTGAAGTTCCTGCTGCCGCTCCTATTGCCGCTCCTCCTTCCTCGCTCAGCCTGCCTGCGCTGCTCACATTCCTCCCCCCCCGCTGAGAAGCTCCCTCCTGCCCCTGTTGCTGGCACTCTTCCTTCTGCTCCCGTTCCCCCTCCTCCCTCAACCCTCAGTGTGCTAGGAGTTTCAGTTTGAGAGGGCTGTTGTGTGAGTTCTGGCCCGACCCATGCAAGCCACGGCGTGTGATACAGCAGCGCGTGCAGTTGCTGCCTCGTCGACCTGTGGTGGATCGATCTGCTCCTGACCTTGCTCCCGACCCCGTCCCTGATGACTTGGGCCCATCAGGAATGTGAGGGAGTGCGTATGACCACCCGTTGGCAGATCGTTGCGAGCCCTCTCATCACCTTGCGGTGTATCGCGGGGTGCTCTCTTGTACGACTTGCGGGGGCTTCTGTACCGTCATGCCACCCCGTACGGTGAAGAAGTTTTGCCAGGCGCCCACCAAAGCTGGGCGCGAGGTGTTGTCGAGGCTCTGGCGAGGCATCCCCTTACAGTCGGGAATATGCTTCCCCGATATGGGCTGATGTGGTGGATGCGGCCTGCCCAGCAGCAGGACCCCGCGCTCGAGGATCAGAGGATCAGAGGATCTCCTCCCTCAACCCTCCTCCTCCCCTCGTCATCCTCTTCCTCGCTTCCCCAGTTGTCCTCCCCCTGCCCATTCATGCTCTTCCTGCTCCTCTTCCTTCTCCTCGTCCGCCTCCTCCACCAGTTCCTCCTGCTGCTCCTCCTCCTCCTCCTCCTCGTCCTCCCCTTCATCCGCTTCCCCTCCTCTTTGTCCTCCTCCTCCTCCTCCTCCTCCTCCTCAGGACCCAACTTCCCCTCCTTCTGCTCATCCTCTTCTTTCGCGGCCCATCTTTTCGCGCTTCCCGTCAGGCGAATGAATTTATCCTCCTCCTCCTCCTCAGACCCCTCCTCCCTCCTCCTATTGCTCTCTGCAGGCCCACGTTTTCTGAGGGCAAGCCCAACAGTGTCGAGAGATTTGTGGCTGCGGGCCTAATGCCTAATGAGCAGTGGCTCAAGATATTTCGGTGGTGTGACACCGCCCTGTTCGTCCGAGAAGCTGCAGCACACGCCGGCATACGGTCTCAAAAAGAGGTTTGGATGCCCCGCGGTTGTCATGGCATGGCCCAGTTCGAAAGTGACACAGCACGTGACCGAAGTAGCCTGAGGCGGGCCGAGGCGGGTCTGCTGGCCCGTCCGAAAGACGAAAAGGTGTTTGATTATGCGGACTTGTGCTTTACGTGCTGTCGGGCAGCGTGTCTTTTGACTGCCAGCTGACTGCCGTTCTTTGCCCCGCCCAGTGCTTCCAAAGATGGCGTGCATCAACCTCAGCCTGCTGCCCCATATGTGAGCAGCCCCGCTGAGGGTCAGTTGCAGCTTTATTATCAAAGCTTCTGGCGCTGCGAGAAGTGTCTCCTAAACACGTGGTCCCGAGTCGGGCGCCAAGCCATCGCCTGGCAAATGATTTGGCTTGAAGGCCTGCGATGCAGACAGCTCGTCAGACTCTGGCCGCACAAGCTTCATGTTTCCGAGCGGTGGCAGTGCTGAGTTTATCCACAAGGGCTTCGTCCTCTGCCGCCGGCCCCCTCGCTGTCAGATGAGGGCATGCAGGAGGTATCAGAGCGAGGGGGCCGAAGGGTCATTCGCTGCCCCTGAGTGCGTAGCTGAAGTGGGGTTCCGCGGTGCGGATTGTTGCTGCGTTGCTGCGTTGCGTTGTCGCGCTGCTGTCGTCGCCTTCGCCCGCGACCCGCCCGCGACGCAGCCGCGACCCACCCGCGACCGCCCCGTGACCCACCCGCGACCCACCCTCGCTGCTTTAACGAACAAGTCGGGGCCCGCGGCGGGCTTGTGTTGCAATGTTGAAAAAATTGACGCCTGCGGCGGGCTTCTTGAAAGCTTCGCAGATTGCCGACCTCATCTTCGAGACAAACTGAGGTCCAGATGATATGTTTGAGTTCTTCTGTGTTGTTTGTCCGGACTTCCCCTCGTTCTGTGTATTGGAGGCTTTCTTGGAACAACTGGGGGCCGGTTTAGGTTACGTTGGGCAAAATCGCAGTTTGGACGGTGTTTGATTCTTTTTGTTATATATATATATATAATATATATATATATACACATTTCCGTAGCCATTTTGGCTCAAGGCTATGAACCGCCCGACGACCGCGAGTCGGCCTCGGTCGGCGACTGATGAGCGCGAGGGGGTTCGCGCTTTGAAGCCAAAGACTCTTTCACCAATTGTGACTCGTGCTGCCCTTCTGGGTTCCAGCCCTCGGCGCGGGCCACCACGTTCCCCACCCGCTTCACTCCTGCGGGTGGGATGCCTGATGGCGCTGCCTCTCACTCTCGGCGGCCTGGCAAGGCTGGCAAAGCTTCTGGTGGCACTGGTGCTGGGCAGCGTCGTCGCGGCAGCCCACGTGAACACGATGCTCGCAGTCGCAGTGCAGGCACGGACGACCCCCTCCAGTCTGCTGGCGCCGACCCCTGGCGAGCTCGCGGGAGCGAGTGCCAGGGCACGGCCACGCCGATCGCCATCACTCCCCCTGCGACCCCTCGGACACCTCGCAGCAGCGGCCGTGACAGAGTTCCTCCTTCACCGCGTCCTCGCCCTAGCGCTCGTGCTGACGGGATGGTGCGTCACTCTGAGCTCGAGGAGATCCTGGGTGCCATGCGCGACGAGATCACGGGCACAGTGCAGAAGGCCAATGACGCGCTCATGCTCTCCATCACATCGAGCACGACCAGCGCCCTTCGACTCTTCGGTGAAAGGCAAGAGGCCAAGAACTCGCAGATCGACAGCCACCTCAAAGAGCTCGACGAGTCACTGCACGGCTGGCCAGGGACCAGAGGGAGATGCGCGAGCAGCTGAAGGCTCTGGAGAAGTCCATGGCCGTGTGCGAAGCGGCGCTTCCGCTGCAGAACATCGGAGGCATTGCCGACCGGTCGCGGGATGTGGACAAATCTGTGTTCGTGGTCTCGGCGAAGGAAGCCATCACCCACCAGGCTGCGGCCGACTCTGTCAGGCACTGGTTTGCCGACGCCGAGCTGGACGACAACAACTGGTCCATCGAGGGCCCCTTCCCAGGGCGCAGGCTGCTCATCAGGATGCACGGCGCCGACGGCCTCGCGGCTCGTCGAGCCACGGCCGCCTTCCGCAAGCTCCGCAAGGAAGGCAGCTGGCGCCGCTTCACCACCACATCCGTCGACGGCAACGAGGTGGCCATGTTCGTCGGACCCGACAAGTCGCCACAAACTATCCGCAGGGAGATCCAGACGAAACGCCTCCTTGAGCTCGTCCGCGGCTCTGGCGCTGAAGGGCGATGGCGCGCCAACCGCCATGCAGGCATCATCAGCGACGGGATCAAGCCCGTCATCCGTGTGGTCGTCGGCGCCACGGCAGAGGACCCGACGATCTTGGAGAGGAACTATCGTGCTGCTACTGATGATCAGCTGGACATGGATGGCATCAAACGGTCATTCAACGAAATATTCGGCGGGGTCGAGAAGATCCACTGGGCGATTAAGCACCCGCTTCGCTCCGTGGCGTGCGCCATCGGAGCACCAGCCCTGCGTAGCCTTCGGCTCCTGGAATGCCCGCGCTCTGGTGCACCACTGCGTCGAGACGGGGGACAGGAAATTCAGGTACCCCAGCTCGATGCTCAAGCTCAAGACTGCCATGTGCGCGCAGGAGGTGCACGGCGCGGAGATCGAGTTCAACCAGGAGCTTCATCGCCTGCACCTTCCTCTGCGCGCCTTCACGAACTTCGGGGGGCGTCGGGACACAGGTGGCGCAGCCATTCTTCTTCCTGGTCAATTCGCTGTCGCTGATGCTTGCCGCTTCGCGCATGAAATTTTCGTGCAAGGCAGGGTTCAACGGTTTCGGATCTCTGGGCCTACCTCAGACGGCCCTGCCCCCCTTCCATCGCCATCTATAACGTCCACAACTTCGGCCTCAGCACGCAGGACATGGACGCGGCCTCAGCATGCGTCCGCAGGGACATCGCCCTCGCGAAGTCCGCCCCGCGGCTCGTCGCAGTTCTCCTCCTCGGCGACTTCAACATCTACCCGGCGTCTCCGCTGCTCACCCGCATCCTGCTCCTCAACAAGGGCTTGGCTCCACTGCGCCATGCGCCGCGTCCGCAGGAGCGCCGATGGCAGGCCATCTTCCAGGACTTCATCGAGATCGACAATGAGCTCCCCGCCCACTATGGCATCCAGGACGACGCGCCTCCCAAGCTCACCCAGATCGACAGGGCCTTCATCGCCTCCCCCAGCCGGCTTAATATTCAATGGCCTATCACCGCCGCGACCCGAGACTTTCCCGAGCATCTGCTCGAAAGTGGCATCAGCGATCACTCTCCGCTGGTCATCACGATTGCCGCTCGCCCTCCTCTCGCGAGCGACGCCCAACCTATTCCCAGGCGCATCTTTCGCGACCCTGAGTATCCTGCCCAGTGCGCCCTGCTGTCGAAGTTCGTCAACTGGGGCGCGCTCCAGCCCTACCAGCAGCGGCAGGAGCATAAGCGTCTAATGAAGGAGGCCGTTCGGCGGGTCAGGGATCGCCTCTTCTCCGAGAAAGCTGCGGAGAACGACGCCCAGCTGCTCGTCGTCCGCTCCATCGCGAGGGCTGTCTGGCGTGACGACCTGCACCTGGCGGAGCGCCTCGTCGCCTCGCCCAAGCTTGCCTCCTCGCACTTGCCCATCGGGTGCCACGGCGGCGCGCTGATCTCGCTGCGTGACCCTGCCGCCTTCGAGGAGGACTTCGCCGCCGCCCAGAGGGTCTACAGCGAACGGCGTGAAGCTCGGCTCGACCAACGTGCCAGGGCTCTGCCTCCAGGCGGCTCTTCGTGCCGCCACATCAACGCGATGCGCCGCTCGCAGAGGCGCCGCGCCGCGCTGTGGACGCCCTTCTCTCGTGCTCTCAAACTTCAGGGGCTTCGCCTTCCCGA